ATCTATCTATCTATCATTCCTATTTATTAGGTCTATCTATCATGTATCATACCTATATATATTACCATCTCTATCTCTCTATCTATCCCTATCTATTGTGCCTGTCTATCTGTCTACCTTTGTTGATCTATGACATGATATGGGAACTTGCAGGCCAGTTTTAAGAGACTGAAAAAGGAGCAGACTTTTAAGACTCTCCTGTGTGCTGATTCCATTTCATCTCTTATAGGCCAGAATCTGCTTAACAAAACCTCTTTGCAGCCGCTCTGGTCCAAGTTCAAAGCTGCACGGAGAGTGTCACGTCCTTGGACCGTGGATTGTTTGCTGATGAATGTTAGGCGATCTGATGAAGGTTTAGACAGAAGCAAAAAAAGAGTTCAATTGGCACTACCCAGCGAGGTGATGGAAAATGGCAGCATATGCACAAACGGAGGAGAGGAGAGCATTAAAATGCAGACTGAACAAAGGTGGGAGATGGAGGAAAGTGAGTCTGAAGGGAAGAGAGCATAAAGGATTACAGGACACATGGACGTGAAAGAAGAGAAACAGAAAGGCAGGAATGGGGGGCAAACGACAAGAACGAAGGGTGCATGTACACTGTGGAAATAATGCTGCATCAAGGACTTTTAGGTATACTTTAAGTAAGAGGAAGCAAGGTTGGCTTAACTTGGAGAAATGAAGACTGAGGTTGCATCTACACTGTAGAAATAATGCAGTTTGACACCACTTTAACTGCCAGGGCTCCATCCTACAGAACCCTGGATTTGTCATTTTGTGAGGCAACAGCACTCTTGGGCAGAGAAGGCTAAAGACCTTGGAAAACTGCAAATCCCAGGATTCCGTAAGAGATGCAGCACATTGAGGCTCTCAGTCTCAATGGCCAACCTCTTCTGGACCAATCTTGCCAAGAAAACCCCATGATAGGTTTGCCTTAGGGTCGTCGTAAGTCGGAAACGACTTCAAGGCACGCAACAGCAACACATTGGCCTATCCCTCTCAAGATCATGATTATTTTCTTGGAAAACACCAATGGGCCTTTAAAATAATGGACAAATCATGATACTGCAGAGAAAGATGTCCAGCATAGGTCAGCCCCTTTTAGGACCATTATTTGCCCCCGATAATTTTCATGAGCTCCCCACTGCAAATCCTCATCCCTGGTGTTCCCATACGGATGGATGGCTGATAGGCAGGCATTTGATGCCTCTTCCACGCTCCAGAAATAATGAAGAGCAACAACTGCGGCAGATTTAATCCATTGGCCAAACAATCCTGGAATCCAGCGGCCGAGAGCCAACCATCCTAAAACGCAGTTGGCTTCTCATCTAGTGGCTAATGCAATGAAGATGGAACAGAGACACCCAAACAAGCAATGGGTTTATTAGTCCGTGGCATCCTTCCTTTCCTGCTGTTTCCAATTAGGGATGAATAGGAGCACAAGATGCAGCTTTAAAGGAGCACACCTTCCCAAAGCAATGTGCGTTGATGTGCTGCCACCTAGTGAAAAGGGGGACAAGAAAGAGTGGAGAAATCCTAAATTCCACAGAACAGAGAGAGACCTTTATTGGACCAAGCAAAAGGCACAAACTATAAGGCGCAAGCTTTCAAAGCTCCACTGGCTCCTTCATCAGGCCAAGGAGTTAAGAATCATGCAGGGAAAAAATGATATATAAATATAAATAAAGACCCATGGTAGTCCACTTTGTTCCCTGGTAGCCAACTAGTTGTCCCAGTAGGATATGGGACAGATATTCTATATATAAAATTTCCTGCATGATTGGTGAGGGACTCAAGATGGAAGGTGATGCTATCTGTCCCATGATGTCCTGTCTGTGGGCTTCCTACTGGGGCAACTAGTTGGC